CCCTTTCAAAAACTTGTGTTATGCTCATTAATTCATCCTCCATAAGTATAATACCTGCATTTTTTTGCATTAGATCATGGGATCAAGCCACAGACAGAAGGCTACTTTTAACTAAGGGATTTCATAAAATGTCTCTCAAAGTGCATATAGATATTCTGTGTGCGAGCACGTGTTCATGTGTGATGTGTGTGTGTTATGTGTGCTTGTGTGTGTGTGACATGTGCTTGTGTGTGGTATTGTGTGACATGTGCATGTGTGATGTGTGCTTGTGTGTGTGTGTGATGTGTGCTTGTGCGTGGTGTGTGTGAGACGTGTGCTTCTGTGTGTGTGACATGTACTTGTGTGTATGTGTGGCATGTGCTTGTGTGTGACGTGTGCTTGTGTGTGTGTGATGTGGGCTTGTGCATGTTGTGTGTGTGTGACGTGTGCTTGTGTGTGTGTGATGTGGGCTTGTGCATGTTGTGTGTGTGTGACGTGTGCTTGTGTGTGTGTGAGACGTGTGCTTGTGTGTGTGTGTGTGTGCAGTGGAAAGCAGACCAAAGGGAGGAGACAATATCTGGCTGTAGCAAAGAGCTCCTTCTCCAAAGCTTCTGACAAGTGCCTTGGATTTCATCACCTGCGGGAGTGTAAAAATGCACAGAATTGACTCCATGTGGAGATTAGCTCCTACATTTCTAGTAAAATACATCGCATGATTGATAGCAGTGGCTGACTTTGTTCTGACAGTTTGCTGGCCTTGCAGGGTCCTTTCTGCTGGTAGAGAATTCCACCTGGGACCCATCCTCCGCAGGCACAACAGACGCAGTAACACGTAGAAGTAGGTGCACAAATGTCACCAGCGCTGCAGAGGACAGCTGAGGGAGCCCAGGATTGTGTCCTCTCAGCGTTCAGAGCAGTCAGGCTGTTTCTGAGGTTTCGAATGTTTTAAAATAACCACACAACTGCAACACCATGTTTAGAACAGATGCCGATGTAGAATCAAGCCTGAGATTTCACATTAAAACAGATCTATTCATGATACAAAAATTCACCATTCACTAACTAACTCAGTATAAAAACTGAGATATGTAAGTGGAATTTAAAGACTTCATCATCAAAAAAATAAGGCATAGGAAACAAAACTGCCCTACCTATGAATTTGCAGCATATTAAAGGAATTTTACATCTTTTTTATATGTGCTCTTAATTTTAAATAAATATGACATACGTTATTCAAATGGGGCCAGATGATCACAATTAGGGTGTTTAGCACAGTGCCTCGGGCACAGAAATATCAATAACCATCTCCCGAACAAAAGAAAATAGTTGAACAAAGCAAAAAAAATAAAAATCCACAGAAAATAATAAAAGTCATGCGTTTGTAAAATATCCCTGTACGTGTCATCTTTTGGAGAGAGAAAGCTGGTAAGACGTGACTGCTTGAGCACAGGAAATGTGCAGGGATCCCAGGACTGTAGTTCAAATATACACTTTACTGATATTTCAGTAACAATTTACAATTTTTTTTGAGTTCCTGATAAATAGCCTCCTTATTTATTTGGAAAAGTGCAGAGTGGTCACAGAGGGATAATTTCTCTGTCTTTTTGACCAAAGTCAGAATAAAGTCGTTTGTGAACAGTACCAAACCCCATGAGCCAGTGAGGCAGAGCAAGAGGCCGCGCTCCACCTGTGAGGGGCGGTGGCTGCAGGGACAGGGGACCCTCTGCGCAGGGAGCAAGCGACCCTGGCGGTCAAGGCAGGGTGCCGGCTCACTCCTGGTTTCCTTCTGGCTCCACTTCTGGGGACCCTGGGGGGCACCTGTGTCCACCTGCACTCGGGAGCGAAGAGCAGAGTAGATGCGGGCTGTGGACACCACACTGTCCCCGGACACGCCGTCGCTGGAGCTGTGTGCCCCTTGGAGCAAGCCCAGGTGGTCAGTGCCCTCAGTCCACCAGCGGCTCCCAGGTCCCTAAAGCGGGGCTGATGGCACCTGTGTGCAGGTGCAGGGGAGGGGTGGGGACCGAGTGGCAGGAGGGCGCACTCACCCACAAAGAGCTGGCTGTTGAGCTGCAGCAGCACATGCCCATCCTTGGGTGCCTGCTGTGTCCCCTGTGGCAGCAGGTCCACCTGCAGTGACGCCTCCTTCACGTTCCTCTCTGCACGGACCAGGTGCCACCGGTCATCATTGAGGGGAGCTGGTGACCGCACCGTGACCTCACAGGGCCCGTTCCCCACGTCGAAAGAGAAGGCCACTTCCGCCGGGGCTGGAAACAGAGGGATTTTGTGCAGTTAATTGCCAGGAGGGACCCAAGCTGGACACAAAGGGAGTGCGTCCTCAGGGACACAGGGGTGTCGACCCATCAGTGCAGGAAATCATCTTCTGCAGCAGGTGGACAGGCAAAGTTAACTCATGTTTGGGAAAACACTGATTTAAAAAAATTGAAGCTCAGAGTGTACAGTGCATTTTTCTACGTACTGAATGGAAAAGATAATTACCCATGGTGGAGAACTAGAAAACATCTGGATTTGTATGTAAAATGTAGTCCAGAATGTCACACAGGTTTATAAGCTGGTTGTAGGGTGTGGGTCATAACATGACAGGTTCATGCAATGAAAGGATTTGGGGATTCAGTAACACTCTGAGGAAGAACTACTTGAACTTAACCCCCAGTCTGTACCCAGCTAACTGTGTCTTCAAGGGGACTTGTGCAGACAGGTGCTGTCCACAGCTAGGAAGTGCACGTCCAAGCACATGTGGGTTACCTCCTCTTAAACAACTGGTTCGTGGCATTCACAGAATTGAGGACTGGAAGGAACTAACAAGGAGATGGTGCTAATGATTCAGGGACACAGGAGACCATCTGAAGAGCTGGTGACTAAATAATGCATGCCCCACAGAATGTTCTGGAAACTTACAGCGCAGCTCTAGAGTGATGAAGTCTGTGATCCCCAGGTTCTCTAAAAATACCCCAGATGAAGCTGTTGTCTTGAAAAAGAAAGACACGTCGGCACTGAGTTCTCCATGGAAAGTTGGGAAGTGAAGGTATGAAGTCTCCGTGTAGAAAGAAGCTGAATTCCAAAATGATCCTTTTGGGGGAGAAAGAGGGGATAATGTGAGAGGACAAATCAATGACCCCGCAGAGAGTTTGCGGTTGGATGTGGCTGTAACCTGAGACGCCCACACGGTTTTCCCTGTGAAGTTCTCCTGAACGTGTCTCACGTGGAAGTCTGGATGGAGAGACTGGGAAGTGGGGTGTCCTCCTGCATCACAGAGGAACGCACAGTTTTACACCATATATAAGAAAAATGTCTTCATGCTGAACCCTTTGTTCATGCAAATCCCTTTGATAATGTCCCAAACCTTATTTTATTACCCAAACCTTAATGTATTCATGATTTGAAGTTTAAAGCACCTATGTGACTTTGAACTAAAAAATATCTTGGAGAAATCCAAAAATCTGCCAGTCCTAACCCTCGCCACCAGACATCCCAGTAGCTCCCCTCAGGCAAGGTCACATCCTGACAGTGGCACGACCCCCACCCCCTCCCTAGGTCAGGATGGTGTATCCTTGTGGAATGTAACGTTCCTCAGTGGAAACTTATTCCAGGCTGTGATGATGTCCTCATGAATACGCTGCCTCTATCTCACTCAGTTCCGCTGCTCCTGATGGAACAGGGTTGGAAAACACCCACGTTCATCACACTGGTTTCTGCTGGTGTAATTTCATATTGCTCAAAATCAATGCAAAACAAATGGCTTAAGCATTTTAAAGATGCTCAAATTGACAAAGAGCATCTTCCCCAAAGATTAGCATTTTAATTGAAATAAGGCTCAAAGAGGCGTGTGATCACGTAATACGAAGTGAATTTCAATTACCGTCCAACCGTGGTTCTCATCGGCACGCTCATGGCTCTGCTGTGTTTTTGGCCGTCCCCAGCTTCCCTTCTGAGAAAAGGCTGTGAGGTTCGGCCTCGGCCGGGCGCCGAGTGACCGTCCCGGCTCTGAGAGACATCCCAGGACAGCCACTGCGAACGCGGGCCTTTAATTTAAACAGCCCACGCCACGTCAACCAAAACATCTGCTCATATCCTCACAGCTAAGTGAGTTCACACTCCGAGGAGTGAGTTCACAGCCAGGGTTGGAATCTGCGACGTCAGGCTGTCCGCTCACTGCAGTGACAGACGAGGCCGAGCCTGTGCTTCGAGCCCTGTGCACACCTGCATTTACCTCCTGTCATGTGCACCAGGCAGACGGTCACTCGTCGCTTCTCAGCTTTAGCAGGAGGGGACCAAATTCCGGAGTCGATTCTCAGGCTCCCACAGCCGTGTCTCCCGCTACGAGGCCCAGCTGCACGGGGACAACCCTGTGCCCCACACACGCACACACGCCAGGGCCTCTGCTGCTGCTGCTGCTCCTCGTGGCCCTGTCTGCCCAGAGTTCCTGGCCTGCCCTCCTGGGCTCCTGACCCTGGCACCCGCGGGCCCGGGGCTCTGTCCTCGGCCCTTGCCCTTCTCCTCTGGGGCCTCGTCGGGCCCCTGACCGTCTGTGGACTCCCCGTGCACGTCCACAGGAGGCAGCTCCCTGGGGATGTGCGGTGGCCCCAGTGCCTCCCTCTCTGGCCGCTGTCCACGTTCCTGACGCAGGTGTCTGGAATGGCACGTCCAGACCCCATGACACTCACATCCTCAGTGGTGGCTCCACTCTCTGCTCGTAGACTGAATGCTTGCTGTCCTCTTGACTCACAACTCTCGTCCATCTGCTGTTTAAATCCCGTCCAGACCCCATGACACTCACATCCTCAGTGGTGGCTCCACTCTCTGCTCGTAGACTGAACACTTGCTGTCCTCTTGACTCACAACTCTCATCCATCTGCTGTTTAAATCTTTCTGCTGTGACCTTCAGGTACAGTCCCAGTCCCGTCCTCAGCACCTGCACCACCGCCTCAGTCAGAGCTGCCGTGTCTCTGCAGGGGCCATAGTCTCCCCATAGCTGTTTCCCAGCCCAGGGCCTCGCGCTCTCTGTTCCCTCTGGACACTCTTCTGTCATCCTCAGTGTGTCCTGCATGTGGGGAGCTGTCCCTGTTCCTTCTCCTCACTTCCTGTCTCCCAGGGGATGGGGATGCCCAGGCTCTGCTCTCTGCTGGGTCCGCGGGGGCACTCGGTGGCTGTTGGATGAAAGGACTTGGTAGCATTTCCTCTTCCTTTAACCACCGAGGTGGTGGGACTTCTCTCATTCTGACTTCATGATGTATCCTCCCAGAATACCACTCATGGCTTGTGGGGAAACAGACAGAGGGAGGCAGGAGGGAGGAAAGAGGAGGCAGGGGAGGGGCTGATGGAGGAGAGGGGGCGGGGAGGAGGGTGGGGAAACTGAGGAAGAGACCTGGAGAGCAAGGGGAGAGGGCAAGGATTTCCAAATGGCAGGCACTGACCAGACCTGGGTAGGACAGCGGAGAAATGCTGTGGTCTGGGGACTTCTGGAGTGGGAGCCACCCCGCTTTGTCTGAAATGGTTGAGTTGCAACAGCGCCAAACGCAGGAGAAATTAACGAAGCATCTGTCTCTGAGTCTGTCCTCTTCAGGGGGCTTGTTTGTCACCACGTGCATCTTAAGCTCTAATGGCCTCTGGGCAGCCAGGACTCCCGTCACAGCAGGTGAATGAAAGAGTGGCTTTGTGGCTCCACAGCACCTTTTCATACCAGAGGGCACTTCCCTATGTCTCAGTGGATGAGAGGCCCCGGCCGCCTGGAAGAGCGTGGGGGTCGGGTCTGCACCAGGGAGGATCCTGGTGAAAATGGATCGTGGCTATAGAACTCTATTTGCATTTCAAACATACCACTTCAGAGTGCCAATATTGTGAATAGATTGAATCACAGGAGCCATTACTTCAAAGAAAAGAAGAGACAGACAGACAGACTGCTGCAGAAATGAAGAAACACATCACTGGAGTGCGTCTGACGGTCTGTGTCTCCAGGGGTTCTGGATCCAGCCCGTCCGTGGTGTCGGGCAGCTGTGAGTGTCACTGTAGGAGCCCCTGTGGTTCTCTCACTGGGTGAGGGAGTGTGGGGGGCTGTGTCCACGAGATGATGATGCTCTAGAACCTTCTCCTGCAGGGCGTGGTCCAGCGCTTGGCAGATGCCTGCCATATTTCCTGGCCGACTGGAAATTTTCTTAGAGGCTTTTGCTGCATTTCATAGAAATGGTTTGGACCAAATATTGAGTAACAGTGACACAGCATTTTCTGATTTTAAAAAGGGACTGAATTCCTTTTATTCCATTACCACCCCCAGTGGAATGCAGGTCTTTCCTCTGACCAGCCGCTGTCAGGGGAAAGAGGAGGTTCCCAGCGCTACTTACGGTCTCCCTGGCACAGCAGAGGCCCCAGTCTATACGCTGCCTCAGAGCCCGGACGGTCAGTGTCCGTGATTACGATCTGTGTGACCGGGAGGTGTTTCCTGTAGGCAAGCACACCTGTGTCATCGGCCCTGGGGGGAGAAAACACTGCATGAAGCCATGCAGGGCAGGTGGCACGCAGCTCCTTGGGCAGGTGCGTGTCAGGCCAGGACATGGTCACCACCCAGACACCGAACATAGTGACACACTTAATGGTCTCTTTTCAAGCCCAGGCCATTTTTCACACAAGTGACCACAGAGAAGGCAGCAGACAGTCAGGAGTGTGGTCGTCTGGGCCAGGCTGAGACGATTGGGGCAGCGTTTTTAGGCTGCAGATTGCTCTCCCAGAGGTGCAGTACGGTGCGGGCTTGAGGGGGGCTCCCACGCGTCATGCAGTGTGAAGCGTCTCGTGGGTAAACCTCCAGATGGTGTCATTAAATACTACTAAAATATAATAATCTATACAATACAGAAATGTGAAAGTAATTTTTTGCTCAGACTTCCATTTTAATAATTATTATTTTTAAAATTGTCTTGCTTTTGCTTTGTTTATATTGGTTTCATAAAAATAATCTGACTTGAAACCAAGTTGGGAACACGTTGCCACGTGGTGTCCTCTGGTTTTACCCACGAGGATGTGCAAGGACAGTGCCTGGTAAACACCGTCCCAGGATGTTCATCCCAGCTCAGAACAGGTGGGGGACGTCTCCCTGCCCTGCACCTGCACAGCCTGAGGGACTCTGCTGGCACTCACCACTGTCATGAGTGGCTTTATAGAAGTGCGTATTTGGGGGCAACAAATAACATTTCTGGAAAAAATGCAGAGAGGATTGGGATGGGGGCAGGCGGCCTGACCTCACAGCTCACAGATTCCTCCCGGGCCAGTTTCCACCTCTCTGAAATAAGGGTGGCTTATGTTTGTGCAGAGTTTTCATGTTCTGTGAGGTACGTCAATTTTGTGTTTGTTTCTAATTTACAGATAGGAGATTCTGATTTGAAGTAGAAATACCCTGAATCTAAGGAACAGGTAAGTCGACCCTGCACACAGCTACCAATTCTGCCTCTGTACGGATTTGAAAAAAGGAGCCAAGTTACTGAATGTGGTCCTCCTGTCTTTTACGCAGTTAGAAATTCTCTTATTTAACAGGAAAATGTGTCTTCATAGTTAACAAATTAACCATTTTATTTTAGATCAAACTGAAATAAAATTGTTATTTAAATGTTTCTTCCTATGTTAATAACAACCTGTTAGCTCTATCTGGTGCATGTACTGAGATATAAAGGAATAAACATTAAAACTTGAGTAGTCAGATGTTACATTGAGGGAATTGAATCACTTGCCCAATTTAGCCTCAATAGCCCATTGCTTTACCTAGTTAAGTTTCCATTTCTTCACAGTCATGAAGAAAATACAACACTGATTTTCCAGATTTGTTAATTCTCGGTTTTGGAATAGAACAGAGTAGATAGGGTAGAACCGTGCTTTACCTAGTTAAGTTTCCATTTCTTCACAGTCATGAAGAAAATACAACACTGATTTTCCAAATTTGTTAATTCTCGGTTTTGGAATAGAACAGAGTAGATAGGGTGGAACCGTATTTTGGAATAGAACAGAGTAGATAGGGTGGAACCGTAGGTTATGGAGAGTGGGACAGGCCAGTCTGGGGGACTCTTTAGTGTGGCGGATAGAAGGCACGTTAGTTGCTGTCTGGCCATCAGTGTCTCTGCAGACAGCACACTCAGGTCCTGTGAGGTGGACACCCTGTGGGAATTTGAAGATCTCACAGTTGTTCACTGAGGATCCTTGAATTTTTTAAGAATTTGCAGAAATAAGTGCTTTTTTATTGAGTTTAACAGTATGCATGTAGCATACTGTTTGTAGCATACTTAGAATACTTAAGATAAATCTCAGTTCCCTGCATGAGTGTTAACAAAGGTAATGAGATAAGTCTTCATTCTGTGTTGGTTTGAAAGCTGTGTTTTCGCCCAGTTCGGGGGAGAATGGCCTTCACCATGGTCAGGTGAACACATGTGGTTCCCACACTCCCTGCTGCGTTCAGGGACTGCAGATTTGGGGGGGCAGCCAGACTCATTCAAAACTGCCCAGTTAATAAGGGCTCACCATTCCCCTGTTTCCTGTTTCCTGCAGAGACTGCCCTTCAACACGGGTCACCTGTTCTCATGGGTCTCAAAAATTCAGCAAGAGAATATTAAACCTCCTTCATGGACACTCCAAAAACTATGGACATTTTTATGGGTTTTTAGAAGTTAGAAAGGAAGACAGTGGAGGAATCTTGGGCCAACTCTAACTTCTAGTTATTGGCTGGTGGGAAAAAAACAGAAATGTTACTATTGTCCACAACAAAATAATTCAGAACCATTTTTATGACCAAATTTAGAAACAGTTCCAAATGAATAGAATGATTTTGACCTTCTCATGAGAAGTTTTACTTAAAGAAAAATATATCATCACTAAAAACTTTCCTGATCAATTAAATATTCATATTAGAAATACCTCCAGACATTCAAAATGGCTTAAAAAATAATATAATATAATAAACACCAATGTACCATCTAAGTTTAATAGCTGGAATATTACCAGTGGACAGGAAGAAACAAAAGTGTAAGTGATTATGGATGTCATGATCGTGTGTGCAGAAAGCCCAAAAGTATTTACAGAGAAGCTACTAAAATTAAAAATGTGAGCATATGAGGCCCAGCAGATACAAGACCAATCACACAAAACTCAACTGAATTCTATACACCAGCAACACAAACATGGAAATGAAATGTAAAATGATACAATTCGCATCAGCATCAAAAATATAAACTCTCCAGGAATAAAACTAATGAAGGTATTTAAGATCTCTACACTGAACACTGTAAAAACATTAGTAAGAAAAATTAAAGAATTGGAAAACTCAATATTGTGAAAATGAAGTTCTAACGTATCAACACAATCCCAATCAAATTGACACAAGAATCAATTCCAGCCAAGGAAACTGAGGCAACAGCTGCTGTATAGACATGAAACTTGAAGCACATCCCCCAAAAGAGAAACAGAGACTAGATGGGAAGTGAATAAGCCCACAGGGAGTCGTGCAACCTGCAGGGCTGGAGGACAGGGTGTGTGCTCACTAGTGCAACCTGCAGGGCTGGAGGACAGGATGTGTGCTCACTGGTGCAACCTGCAGGGCTGGAGGACAGGATGTGTGCTCTCTAGTGCAACCTGCAGGGCTGGAAGACAGGATGCATGCTCACTGGTGCAACCTGCAGGGCTGGAGGACAGGGTATGTGCTCACTTGTGCAACCTGCAGGGCTGGAGGATAGGGTGTATGCTCACTCGAGCAACCTGCAGGGCTGGAAGACAGGATGTGTGCTCACTGGTGCAACCTGCAGGGCTGGAGGACAGGGTGTGTGCTCACTAGTGCAACCTGCAGGGCTGGAAGACAGGATGCGTGCTCTCTAGTGCAACCTGCAGGGCTGGAAGACAGGATGTGTGCTCACTGGTGCAACCTGCAGGGCTGGAGGACAGGGTCCATGCTCACTAGAGCAACCTGCAGGGCTGGAGGACAGGATCTGTGGTCACTCGAGCAACCTGCAGGGCTGGAAGACAGGATGCATGCTCACTGGTGCAACGTGCAAGGCTGGAGGACAGGATACATGCTCACTTGTTTTCTATAGGTAGGAAAGCAAAGGGGAAAGGCAGTAAGTTTGGGGGAAGCATGTGAAAAAGGTAAAAGAAGCTGACAACAGTGAACCTAACATTGACCTAAAAGCAGAGAAAGTCCCCTCAAGTGTGTAGATACTGGAGAACTGTATGTAGGTCAGAGCAGGGAAGGGCTTTATACACATACATCCTCAAGAGGCAGCTTTGTAAAAAATGATGAAATCCTGTCATTTGTAGCACCACAGGTGAGCTGGAAGACATTACATTAAGTGAAATAAGCCAGGCAGTAAAAACCACATGTTCTCACTCATAGTTGGGAGGTAAAAAAACCCCAAAAAGTTGGGCCAAACCCGTGGCTCACTCGGGAGAGTGCAGCATTGGGAGAGCAGTGGCGCTGGGAGCGCAGTGACTCTCCCACCGTGGGTTCGGATCCTATATAGGGATGGCCGGTGCGCTCACTGGCTGAGCATGGTGCAGACCACACCATGCCGAGGGTTTCGTTCCCCTTACCGGTCACAAAAAAAAAAAAGTTGAGTTTTTAGAGGTAGAGAGTAATTGTGGTTACTAGGGGCTAGGAAGGGAGGGGAGAGGCTGGTTAGTGGACACGAGATCACTGCTAGATAGGAAAAACAAGGTCTAGTGGTGTGCAGTGATGCTGGCATCTATAATTAACCATAATGTATTGTGTGTTCTCAAATGGCTGGAAGAGACGAGCTCAAATGTTATCATCACAGAGGAATGTAAATGTCCGTGACAACAAACACGCTAATAAATGAGGGGGAGCTTCAGAATCCTGCACAGAAAAGAAAATTAGTGAAAATAACAAAGGCCATAAGCCCCCTCTCACGTGGCACCAGGTGCAAGAAGAGCCACGCTGTAGAGAACCACGCTGACCGGAGGTGGACCACCTGCAGTCCTGTCCACAGAAGTGCAAGGTGCCACTTCATAAACAGAAAACTACCATGAAACAAAACCAAATGAGGACAGCAGATGGGAGGAAACCTCCTCCCCCAAAGACCGGCGATGAAGTGAAGAAAACGGCGGCAGATCTGAATTAAATGTCCCTAGACAAGCAGGAGGAGACGTAGCTGGACGTGGAGGAATCACAAGTTCAAAATGAATAACCATTGGGAAGAAAGGAAACGGGTTGGTTGAAATTTAAAAAATATGAGAAAACTACAAAATTATATAAAATGAGGAATAATTACAGTGAGCCCAAGA